ACTGATTTTCGGGATTAATCATCCCATAATGAGATATGTAAATCAAGATCCTAACAGCATCATAAATGCAATGTACATGGGTGTACCCCTTGGTACTGATGTTTATATACACTACACTTTTATTTCAAAAAAAAAAAGACCCAAACAGCATCATATAAAGAGAGAACTTCTACGACATTCTATTGACTGCCTAGAAGAAGCTTATTACAAAGCCTTGGAGATTGACCACTATTTAGGAGATTCAAGATTGTCTATGACAATTACCCAATCACCTCCTAGAAGAATATGGAATCTAATTGGTGAAAAACCAATAAACGGAAACAAATGTTAACAAAGTTTTATATTAAAAGGAATAAGATGATTTAATTTCTTTCTCTAGTTATTTCTATTATAGATTTTAATGAATTAGCTATTTTCTATTTAATAGGATTCCTAAACAGCATATTATTATTTTGGTTACATTTTGACGTCTACCCATGAATAGGATACCATAGTTTAGTTATTCGGTACATTTTATAATTATTACACAAATATTAAGTTATCAACTTGATGATTGAGACCCAAGATCTCTAGATTCAGTTCTAAATAAATTTGCCTTAAGTATTGTGTTCAATCTCAGTTAGCCCAGCATCAATTTCTTTCTCTAAATTACGGTTTCTCTCCCTTTCTTTCCCTTGTTCCTCTTTTCCCTCTCTCTTCTTGCCTGAACTTTCTGTTTTCTCTCTTCCGCTCCCAATCTCTTCTCTTTCCATATTAAGCTCCAGTAAAAAAATTGTTGCCCTTATTTATCAAATAACAATTATAAAATTAAGAAATTATATTCTACATCAACAGTCCCGCCCATCCAAATCACACTTGGCAACAATTACCTCCTTCATATGCCTCCCCTGTAGTACATGAACTACCAAAGCCATTTAGCCAACAAAGCTTTGCACAAAATTGTAAGAAGTTTTTGATCGAGGTCGTCCAACCCCACAACACCCCCCCCCCCCAAAACCCCAAATATTTTCTTCTACACTCCAAGCCACAAGATGAAAACGCATATAATTCTTAGAAATACCTCTAAGGAAACAACGTTGTAAGGTTTAAAGCCTCTTGGGAACATTAGATGGAATAAGAAAAAGAAAGAAGATAGATGGACAAATTGGAGAGAGTAACTTTTGATGAGAGTAAGTCTACCACCATTAAAGTGAAAATTCTTTCTCCGATAAGACAATCTCTTCTCTGTCTTGTTAATAACTAGGTCCGAGATATAAGATACTTGAATTTACCACCTAGTGGCAAGCTGGATCTTTAATAGGGAAGTGAGGCAACACAAGATCCAAATGTACTAGATAATTCATCCACTTCCACCCCATAATCAAAGGAGACTGATTTGGATTTTTGCGAGTCAATACGGAGGCTAGAAACTACTCAAAGCAAACTAGGACACATCTATTATTCATCAAGAACTCTTCTTCGAGATTAAAAATTAACTACGTATGACCAATGAAAAGTAAGTGAATGACCTCCTTTCTTGATTCACCACTACCATTGTCCAACCCTTCAATGAGATTACAAGATCTCACTTGATGTCCTGTTAAAAGCCTCAGTTGGCGAAATGAATAGAAAGGGGGCAAAGAAGATTCTCTAGGTTGAGACCTCTAGAGGACAGAAAGGAACCAAAAACGCCCCCATTAACAAACACAACAAAGTAGTAGGTGGAGATACATCTCTCAATCCACTTAGCCCATATAGGACCCAACTCCATCCTTCTCAACTCATAAAACAAAAACGAAGGCACATGGCCATAAACT